GGAATAGTTCCCGTTCTCACTCTTTTCACTTGCTGTGACTTCCAGTGCAGGCATCTAGACTAGGTGAAATGGAACATAGGAAGTGCCTTAATTGGCTATCAGTCTATGGAAATTCCTCCTCTAAGCCAAAGCTTACCTGGGGATGGTACCGTCCAATATCTGTGAGGAGCTGATGAATGAGACGTCCTACTAATGGTCGAGGTGTGTCAATTCTTGCAATGAGCTGAGGGATAACCTAGTAGTAAGGATAAGTAAAATAAACATCCCTGTCATCTCATGTGTTTAGTTCACAAGCTGTTCTGCCCTCTGCTAGAGATCTCTCAGTCTCTAAAGGAGACAAAGAGGCCCACCACTCATTTTCGAGATGGTCAGAGGATAACACAAAGTTCCAAACAGAGTCAGAAATGCAGAACAGCTCAGTGAGATCACAAGTGTTCTGTGCAAAACTGTTACAGGATCCTCTTATGGAAGGAGTAAGATGTGTCTTGAAGTGTAATGCTCAAATAAGAAATAAAGCCTTTTTTTATTTATTTACAAGAGTCATTCTACAAAGTAATCCTGAAATAGACTGACTGAATTACATCAGAGCAGCACAGTGGTGTTTTATACTTGATCACTACTGAATGCATGTCACAGAATGAAAAAGTTAAAATTTTCATTTTCTCATTCATATACACTAGTCCGCATATAAATACAGAAATGCATGCAAGGATGTTTCTCATGTCTCTGTTCAAGATGCTTGTTAAATCAGTTACAAATTGTACTGCATACTGCTCTCACCACTCACCTACAGAGGATTGTTTAGCCAAGGATCATCGTGGATATCGTAACAAATCCCCAAGCTCCCCCCAGAACTGAGATCTGTCTTAGCCCTTTGTGTGCCTTACCTGCAGCCAAGTGTCTATTTGGATTGCCTTGACTCCTTCTACCAAAGCCTCATTCACATCAGGCCAGTGACCATAGTCAAACCACAGAGTAAGGACTCTTAAAAAGAGAAATACATTCATTAGGAATGAAACAAAAAACCCAAACCATTCCAGTTAAATACCTTCCGACCCATTTACAAGTGACTCTTCCCAGAGCCTAGAGATAGTAGGATAAGGGCTAACCCACCTAACGCAAATTAGCTTGGACTGAAGCATTCACTTAGTTTAACCATAACAAAAAAAGCAGAAACAGGTTCTACCTAATTTTAAACCATGTGCCGATATCAGCTGGATTTCATTTACTATGTGCTTTATTATGTACCTTAGAGTGTCTTGTAGGTTGTTCCCTCGAGACAGAG